GTATCATCACCAAGCATACATCCATCATATTGCATACTATCATAGTAATATTATAAATTAGAATGTTTACATGGATGTTTGAAGGTATCTTCAGAACGACTGAACGAATCTCGATGAAATTTGGCATACATATAGAACATAGTTTGGAAGAGCACATAGGCTACTAATTAAACTTTGTTTACTCGCACGAACGGAGTCGCGGGCGATCGCTAGTATTATATTGGATACAAAAAACATTTTAAATTTTTGTCTGTCTATCCGCATGTATGTGTTTATTCCAGGTAATCTCGGAAACGGCTAGACCGATTTAAACGAGAATTTTAACAGAAGATAGCTGATTAATATATGGTGTTTTTTAATTACACGGTGCCAAAATATTCAATATAATTTTTGTATTAAAGATACACGTTTTTAGTGGAAACTAACCTTAAAACTTGTATAATAGAAACATGTTTTCTCAGATAAATGAAAGATGAGTTTCAGTGCATCTCTTGGCTCATTTTAATGAACAGGATGTTGTGATACAAGAATAATTAACTAGAGACGTACGCCGCCATCTTGCAACTTGATGTAGAGTTTGTCTTGGTTTCTATTAGCAACTGTCTTATAGGTACATATACTAGCTCTCGTCCGCGATTTCCATCGCGCGTATTCAAAAGTAAAGCTTAATTAATAGCATATGTGTTCTTTCAGACTATGTTTTACTTCTGTGCTAAATTTAAGCGAGATCCATGTTGCCGCTCTAGAGATACTTACTAACAAACATCCATTCATCAAGATATACGCATTTTTAATATTAGTAAGATTTTACTTTCCATCAAAAACCTTTGGTTTTTCAGCTTTTATTAGTAAAAATATACAATCTACTTGTTAAGATTTGTTTTAATTCCCACGGCCACAGTCACGGGCAACAGCTAGTATGTCTATAAATGTACAACAGCGTAAACTCGTATCATTTGTAAATCAAGTCAAACATTTACTTGATCAAATAATTGCAGTCTTGTAATTACGTCAGTTCAAATAGATGGTACACAGCTGCTCCCATCGTATGTCTAATATTTGCCCGCTAATAATATTAATGGTGAATTACGATGTAATACCGAACACATGCGAACGATGTATTAATTACTAACTGTCGCCCGCGACTCCGTCCGGGACCAAATTAAAAAAAAAAACTTAATAAGTACCTCATGTGTTCTTCCAGACTATGTTCTATATGTATGCCAAATTTCATCAAGTTCCGTTGAGCCGTTCCGGAGATACCTTCAAACAAACAACCGATTCATATAAACATTCGCATTTATAATATTACTAAGAATTACGATAATACAAAGGAAGGGATAGAAGGTTGTCTTCTCACCATATCTTTGCAATGCTGAGATGAACGTAAAATACATTGGATTATAAACACAATTTTTATATCCTTTCTTTTATCCTTTCATGTCCAAAAAGTGTCGTAGAAAGCTACGCATAACATTTTTTTCGCCTGCCAAGTTTATAAATACGCTTTTAAATTCAATCTGATTTCCGATCTGCTTTGTAAAGTCTACAAAATCAGTGTTAATCCTTTACTTAATTCCTTTATTACGGTTTACTCGCTTTGTTGTGATTTCATCACGGATACGATTGGATTGTGAGAAAGCAATTAAAGCTCTTAACGCCTCGATCCGATTTATTGGTTACGAGTTAGAAAGGGAAAAAAGAAAATACAAGTTAAGCTTCATTGTGTTAGTGGAGAAATAATTGAAAGTCAACTTGAATAGAAAATGTTAAACTTATGGTTGGTTTCCGAGACCAAAATTGCCTTATAACACTTTGACAAAAGAGAGATAACAATATGTTTTAAACAAGCATTTTGGTCTCGGAAACCAACGATAAAATAGATTTAATAATCACGCAAATTGATTGATAGCGAACAGCTTCGTCCAATATCCTAAAATATTAAATACAAGATAAATAAATATGTAAAAAGTAAAAAAACAGCCGCGTTGTGAAATACCCTGTCCTCAGCGGTATTTCCAAACATTTACGACTTAGGGGCCTTCAAGAAAAGAGCGTACACCTTCCTTAAAGGCCGGCAACGCATCTGCGGTTCCTCTGGCTTTGCGAATGTCCATGGGCGTCGGATCAAATAATCTTAGACGATTCGTTAATCGTTTGTCCCAACCTCCTATAAAAAAACCGATTGACTTTAAAAGGGTTAATATTTTTTCTGTGTCGGAAAAATGTGGTCGTACGTTCTCCATACATATTCAGTAAAAAAAACTAGGTTTTGATAAAATAAGGCAAAGTAAAAAAGGCAAAGCTTTTCCATACTTTCATTGCGCACACAAGACAAACTACACACCATTAATAACTCGAGTCTATGAAATATTATTTAAAGAAATCATAACCAGATCATTTCTGAGACGAAGTTTATGATTAATGGCTTACTTTACCATCAACTTTGGAACATTAAATTGGAAAATCATATTTTTTGGAACCTTAAATTAGTGTGTTTTAATTGTAAAGGCTTTACTAAACTTAATCGTAAGAGAAACGCAAAAACATATTATCATCTCACTCGTACTCATTGAAAAAATAGAGACAACAACATTTATAAAAAACGTTTCAAATGTCTCCGATAATCCATAAAAAACATCATACTGTATTCAATATTCATTCCAACCATTATTAATATAGAAAAGAACGATATTTTTTTTCAATTAGTCTGCAAAAGAAAACATCTGATGAATGTTGAACAACGCGTAATTAGCGCAGCCTACTTTCTGATAAATCAAGACGTATCGGCTTTTGTGACGTCACTGCGCCGTGACGTGACGTCAGAAATGTCATGTTACAATGCTACGGCCGTAACACAAAACATCAATATCATTGTTTCCACAAAGGGGTTGCGAGAAACAGTACGTTGTTACATAATTTAATCGTCAATGGAAACCCACTATTAAACAGAACAGAAAACAAATATCTCTGTATTGTTAAATCAAATAAAATTCTGTTAATCGATTTTTATCATTTTAGATTTCCATTTTGAAACTTTTAGTTAAATTATTACTTAAATATCTTAACTAAAAATTCAATTCCTAAAACCCTCTTTTGCGAATGCTGTGAAGCGTAAATGGTTACGCTCTTCAAATTCAATTTACTGAAATCCCTTTTGCCGAATACTAAGATAGTGAATAAAACGCAGACTTTCCTTAGTAGCAATTCATTGCAGATAAGATTTTACACAGATACTTACTAAGGATATGTTCCTCATCAGCACACAGACCCCACCAAAGGCGTCGAGCCAACGGTATGTTAGGTGTGAACTAGACTTTAGACACAAGTCTAATTTGGATTTATTTACACATATATTTTATATTTCTGCGCAGACATGTGCAGGTTGCATTTCGATAATTTTTCCTACACCGAATGAACATCGGATAAATATACAAATAAAATAAAAAAAAAAGTAAAATACGGATTGTTACATGGTGGGGAATGAATCTGTACCTGTAAATAACTACGAAGATATTATAAAATATTGGAAAACTGCAGAACGGCTGAACGGATCTCGATTAAATTTGGCATACGTATAGAACATAGTCTGAAAAAACACATAAGCTACACTAAGTTTTTTTTATATATCCACGCGGACGGAGTCGCGGGCGACAGCTAGTTTAATATATTTCCATCTGTGCATTAAATTGCTCGTAGAATCAACAAGAGAGCTAAAGCGAACGGAAACGTTTAACAGATTTAAGATAGTAATTTACGTCCTACGTAGTACTTAAACGCCAAGTCCAACCACTGAAACGTTTTAAAAATCCCCACAGACTTTAATTCTAAAGGTATCGTAGTTTATGGCAAAGTACTGTCTGTTTTTTACATCATGTACTTCTTAAGTTTATTTATAATTCTATCAATAAAAATCTTTGTAATTTTAATTTTTAAATACAAGCAAAGGCAACTAAAACGACTTACTAAGTACTATTAAGTTGGTAGTTTCTACCTAAAAACACCATCTAATAGTAGTTAAATTTTATTAAGTATAACAAACGTTGTTTATCAATTAACAAAATATTTTATGCCCGCTGTTACAAGGTTACGTTGCTAGATTTTGATAAAGTCTCAATTCTTGATCTATTACATTGCCCCAACTATATTATTACTAGCTGTTGTTCTTCCAGACTATGTTCTACATCTAAATCCATTCAGCCGTTCTCTAGATACCTACACATCCATCCAACCAAACATACCCATTTATAACATTAGTACGCTTGTCTATTATCTAATCCAGTAAACTATAAAAAGTATCTTTTTTTCTAGTATTGATACAAACAAAAGAAACGTCGGTACGGAATGCGATGGGAATCGAGAAAAGCAATTTAAGTAATTCAAAAGCATTTCAGCGCGAGTTTAAACGCTTTGAATTCATTTAACGATCTACAACTGCTTTGTAGCAACTCTCTTCTTACTTTAAATATTGATAATGACGTAAATAGAAGCTTAACTATTGTTTTATTTATTGTATAAATTCATGAGATAATCAACTTGTCTTTTTTATAAAAACAAACAGCCAAGGAAAGCTAGAGTCAGCTTTACATTGATATAGATTTTGTTAAATTTGTTTTTCTTCTAAATTCATTTGTAAACATCCTTTAAAACTTTAAACAGATGTAAGAAACAAGCATTTTTTTATAACAGAAGGGGGCAAACGAGCAGCTGAAACACCGAGGTGTTCAACGACACCCATGGACATCAGCAATATCAGAAGAACCGCAGATGCGTTGCGGACCTTTGAGATGGTGATACGCTCGTTATTTGAAGGACCCTAAGTATTTTTTTAGAATTATTTCTAAATTAGTGATCACGTTTTTTCGATTACAAAATCACTAAACATTACATGAGTTGTTGAAGCTGTAGTTTATAAAAAAAAGCAATAAACACAACGTACAATAATTCCTATGAACATTCCCTTACTTGTGGATAAAAATAAATTAAATAGCAACTTTACACACAATTTTTATTTCTTTCTATAATCTAGAAAACTTTTCACAGCTTTGAAAACATCAGCTGCTAATTCTTTAGGTTTCTCTAGAGCAGCGAAATGTCCACCATCATTTAAAGAGGTGGTACCAAGTAATGTAGGATATTTAAATTTAAGTAACCAATCCGGTTGATAGTATAATTCATATTTTAACCTGAGAGCCCAAGTAGGTACAGGAGTTGGGATTCTAAAACAGAAAAAAAAAGAATCGATCAAAATTAAACTAGGGGAAACTAATCTTTGAAATTAAATACCGGAGTTTCCATGATATTCAAATATAACATAGTGTATTATAACAATGTTAGAGCCTGCTTTAACATCTTCGCACGAATTGTCCCGGCTCGCCCGGTGAAATACCACGACCACACAGAAGACAGGCCTCAAGTGGAAGCTATTCCAAGTACAGTCTGATGAGTGTGCGTCCCGGAGGCCCAATTTAGTCCTCTTTCCCTTCCCACCCTTTTTCTTATAAGGAAAGGATGTTAAGTGGAAGTGGACTTTACGAATGAGAGGATGCATGGAAAGGGAAAATATTTTCTTTCTGTGCATCCTCTCCTCCCTCGATTAAAGGTAGGCAACGCATATGCAATTGCGTATGTCTATGGGCATCGGTCACCTGAAATCACTATTTCAGTGATTTCAGGTGGCCGCTCGCTCGTTTGCCACCTTATGATATAAAAAAATATATATATGATGGACTCAATGTGGAATTAAAAAGAAATAGGTTAAATATATTACCTTGCTAAAATCAATTCCGTTTCACTTGCAAAGCTCTCTTTATACAGTCTCATAGCTGACGTCATAGAACCTGTTATCCAGTACAGCATCACATTATCCAGCATATCAATAGAGGATATGTTATCTAAGCCACCTTCTTCCGTATTCTTGAAAGAAGAATTTGAGAACACCATGTATCTGTCAAGCATATACGCTGCTAATCCAACAGGAGAATCTTGTAAAACGTATCCTGTTTGACATTAAAACAATAATTAGTGAAAGTTTAATAATATTTAAGAATAATCTTACTTCTTACTAATTTTATAAATGCAAAAGTTAAAAAGGATGGATAGATAGATATTTGTTTGAAGTTAACTCGGGAACGGTTCAACGGATCTTGATGAAATTCGGCACAAATGTAGAACATAGTCTATTAGGACTCATAGGATACTTATTAAGTTTTTTATAATCCACGCGGACAGAGTCGCGGGCGACAGCTAGCCTATGTATAAAATATCTATACTATTATAAACAAAAAGATACACCTAATACTTTACTAAGGTTACAAAGGCACTAATTAAACATCTCTAAGAGTATTTAAAATCAAAGTTGAACTATAGTGAATCCTATGGAACAGTTACTTAGCAACAAATAATTATAAAACATACCTATAGTATCAGGCTTGGTGCCCTGTAAGTGCATATAACCTGATTCTTCTAAATAATAACTCAATTTTTCACTCATCGGATACATTTTATCCGCATGGTCGCCAGCAACCAATGTTGGACAAATGGATCCAACTAGCCAAATCAAATTAGCCAACTTGGAAGGATTAATTGGCGTATTCGTGTGGAAGCCTAGCACTTGGTCAGGGAATAATGTTGCCATGTGGGATCCGATAATATGACCAAGATCACCACCTTGAATAAAGAACTTCTCATGACCGATCTTCTTCATCAGGTTCCGCAGAATGACAGCTATTTGAGTCGGTGCCAATCCACGTTTTTGAGTGGCCTGAAAATTTTTAGTCGTATAAAATTTGTCCACAAAAATTTTAGTATAATAAGTGAGTGCTGGGACGCATTTTTTTTTAGGCAACAATCGAATAATATTAAAAAAAATATTAAAGAATACCTGGGAATAAATATATCCAGGCAAACTAGGAACGATGACTTCAAAGACAAAATCATATCCCGGTCTCGGTGTGGTCAAAATTGGTATCACATCGTAAAAGTCCTTGAAAGTACTTGGCCATCCATGAATAAGTAGAATTGGAAAGACCTGAAAGAAAAAAAAAATCTCATTTTATTTAATAAAATCGGTGTTTGAAGGACATCCTTCTCAGAATGTGTCCTCTATTAATTTATTCTTTATTTAAAGACTAGCTGTTATCCGCGATTTCATCCGCGTGGAATTAAAAAAAACTTAATTAATGGCCTATATGTTCTTCCAGACTACGTTCTGCCGTTCTACGTTGAGCCGTACTGGAGATACCTTCAAACAAACATCCATCCATCTAAACATTCGCATTTATAATATTAATAAGAAGTAAGATAGCGGAACATCTATTTACCTTTGTATTTCCATCAACTTTAGGCTTCACATGCACAAAATGCATATCCAATCCTTGTATATAAGTTTTGAAATGTTCGTACTTATTAAGATATCTCACGCGATCTCTATAAGGATATTTAAACTGCCATTGCGCGAAGAATTGTCCAAAAGCATCGGAATGGACGCCATAGCTCGAATTTTCGGTTAAACTTTTCAACTTTGGACGTCTACGGAAACTGTCGAATAGTCGACGAAGACCTTCTTGCATCTGTAAATTATATGTACTGGCTAAGTAAAGGTAGCCAAAGACTTAGAACTGTGATTACTCCTACATTTAGTTATTCTGTGCTAAAGTTTGGACTTAAAAGTACTACGTTTCTGATCGAACCTACTCTTACATAAATTCCCTGATATCTCTCGCTATACATTGTTTGGTTTCTTATTATTTCATATATTAAATACTTACAGAATCAATGTATAAAACTCTAAATGGTCTTATAGAAGTATCTTTTGATTTGGTCGTGTTGGGACCCCACCATTCATTGAAATCTATAGCTGGTAAATCTGGGACTGCGATCACGTTGACATAAACTTGGAAGCAAGCCAGACCAACCAGCAGAACTATTACAGATGTTACTAATAAACAGACCTGGAATTTAAGTAACATTAATTACAAAATCATAGATATTTAGATAATAAACGAAATATGTCACTTGTTAAACAAACTAGCTATCGCCCGCGGCTCCTTCCGCGCGGAATTGAAAATATTTTTTGCAAATTTCTTCATGATCCGTTTAGGATCCGTCGTTGTGGCGACAACTTTAAACAAACATCGATCCATTTAAACATTCTCATTTATAATATTAGTAAGCTACTAAGATCTAATAATAATATAATCGTATTACTGAATTACTTACATTCTTAGAACCACCTTTATTTGTTCCTTCAACTACTTTTTGATCAGCAACAGAACTAGGTGGTTTCTTTTGAACTTTTTTCTTCACCATTTTATAAAATTTATTTCTTATAAATAAATATTTTAATCACAATGCATATCACGAAAACGACTTGCCGTATCTACTATTTAAATTAAACTACAATCAAGAGTATATACAATCTAATCAATAATATATTAGGTAAAAAAATCAATGTGTTTACTATGGATTGGATTGCCACTATCTTATCTCACTCTTTAGGGATTAAAATTGTACGTTGATTTTTAAACACATAACGAAGTTATATCAGTAAACATTCTGATGAGGTGTCTTTTAATATTACGTATAGACCACTTGTGGTTTATGGAATTTAAAACTATAAAAAAAAAACACTATAGACTCTTTCGTAACAATTGAATAAAGATATAAAAAGGCTTTATTTTATATTAACAGTCCACCGCGACTTTGTCAGCGCGGAATAAACAAAAACAGCGCCTAATATCTGTATCGTCTGACATCCATTGTTTGGGTTCGTATTTTTTGATCACGTCTATAGACATGATGACGAATCCATCGAGCGCTTGGTGGTGCAGGGGAAAGTTGAGGGCAACAGACCACGAGGAAGATCGCCTATGAGGTGGACCGACCAAATCAGAGCGGCTGTGGATGTCCCCCTGCACCAATGTACAAAAAAGGCAGCGACTAGGCAGGAGTGGCGGTGCCTGGTAAAGCGGGTCACAAATACCAGTCTGACAAGACTGTAACGACGAAGAAAAAGAATATCCTGTATACCTCAGCTATCTTCGAGTGAAAGTCTCATCAAAGTCAGTCCCACCGTTTCGGAGATTACTCGGAATAAACGTGGATTTGTGGGCTATAAATAGGGTTGCCAAAAGCTACTTGTTTAAGTAAACAAAGTCATCTATTCGTTGTAACATGTTCATGGTATTTTGAAGTTTAATACGCCAGTTTTTTCTAGGTTATTCGGTCTGCGTGGTGGAGGTAACAAAGCACTCTTTGCTCTCACACGGTCTGAATAAAACACGTGAGCTACGTTGTAAAACAAGTAGAACTCGCATGAGTAAATACTTTTCTAGTTTGACAATGTTTTTCTGCTTTTTTTGAACGGAAAACTTTTGTATGGCACTCTTTAAAAAAACTGGAAAATGTTTCTAGCCTAACAGAAGTACTGCAAATGTTATAATAAAATTACCTTTTAAACTTCTTAATCTGTCATTTTAATTAGCTTAAAACATTTCTTTCTTTATTTTAGAGCACAAATTTTCCTTTTTATTATTTTTAGTAAAATAATGTTACTATTTTTAGTAATTTTAACTTAAAAAAAGAGATATTGAAATTCATAATGAATTCTTCAGTACGCTAATAAATACGTTACGAATTCTACGGAACATTAAAATCTTATATTTAAAAACCTAACTTCGAGAAATATTTTCATTATAATCTTCGTTCCTTTGCCAGAATAAATGACATCGATTTTTTCTATCTGCATTCAAATGACGCTATATCGGATATTACATATTTCAGAATGTAACTAAGCGAGAATTGAACTGGAATATCAATGAGATACACCCATATCGTAAGTTTCCACTGAAGATATCTCATAATTCAACATGGCATTATTCAAACTTTCGTCAGACATTATACTAAACAGATATAAAAACGGCTAAACACTCACATATATTCGTCAGTGAGCGACGGGCCTCGTCCGCGAAATAATACCAGTACTCTCACTGATGAAGGGCACCTGATGGGCTCGAAACTAATCGGTGCCACCACCAGACGAATATACGTGAGTGGTTTAGCCGTTTTTATATCAGTTCAACATAGCAGTTCAATTTGATTCAAGAAACAAAATCTTAAAAATCCACAAAAAGCCTGCTTGCACGCTTGATCGCCGCAACATCGTAAATTTGCAAAGAAGCCAGCTGCGCATGAAACCTTTTATCTGAATTGAATCGTTCACGAGTCTGCAGTTTATATTCAGACATTTAGGGATGTAAGCAGAGACAAGGAATAGAAATTTACATCGCCAGATTACATCCCAGGATTTACAATTTTTTAAAGCGTGCCAAAAACTATAAAATGCCGCCCTCGCACATTTATTTTACTTTTACCTTTTAAGTTTATTCTATGATGAAAGAAAAAAAATTGACATGTTTTGATGAGAAGGGGATGTGAATTTGGCGGAAGAGGGGACGCATAAGTAGGGATAATATGCGTGTTGATTAAACGTAGGCAACACAACTGCAAATGCTAATGTCTATAGACAGCGGTAGCTTCGCTATTTTGGCAAATTCCTGTGATGGCCTTCGTTTGTTACCTTTTGCTATAAAAAAAAAAAATAAAAAAAACAATTCCTTGTATGTACATTGCAGCTAATTTACCTAAGAACATGTCAATTTTTCTCCGTCGTCGTATGATGAATATAAATTAAAGTCGTTGACGCGCTTCAATTCTGATAAAAGGTTTCACGCACACCTGCTAGAGTTTCTTCAATATTCATTATATTAAGGCTTCCTTACACGTGTAACCGTATGTTGTTAATAATTTTAAAACTTTACGATAGTAAATTTTGTTTTCTTTTTAGTCTTGACTTAGCGTAATCGAAAATCTAAACTGGATTCTTGACCTTTACTTTTAAAATGGACCCTATTCAAGTTAAGGCCTGTTTATCAATAGCCAAACAAAGTACTGGATAACTAACCAAATAGTTTGCGTTTCACAGCTTATTCACAGATTGAAATACGCCGACAACGACTTTATTTGACAAATAAGTTCCAACTACCTTATTCAAGACTTATTTGAACATAAAACAGGCATATAATAAAGAATTTTGACCTTAACGAAAATTAAAAAAATAATAATTACATTCATCTTTCCGTCCTTGTCCCACACAATGTAGGGTTAGCACACCAGTTTTCGTCCACCAGACCAATCCATCTTAAATTACTTTAAGACCGTTAAAGATAAAACCACAATGTTATCTAAAATAAAATAACTGACATAATAAATCAGTAAAAGTATAAAAATGTTTAATTAGCGTATTCAAACGAAACATCAAGGGCAGTAAAAGTAAAAGTTGTCAAGTATTTGGTAGGCTAATAGGCCGTTATATTCTTCTGCATGAGACTGACATTTGAATTGCAAATAGCAACAGAATGGGCGTCTTGTAACTTTAGCATTAATTTTGCGTAACAACATTATGTAAATCGTGTAGACTTTGTAAATTTATGCACAAATATAGAGCAAGAATTTATTTACTTTAGAAATTCTCTTTAAGACTTTTTCTTAAAGCTACATAAAAAAAGTATTTATCTATCTCTTACATTAAATAAGGCATAATACGTTTTAATTTGCATGATTCTAACTTATAAACATCTGTAAAGCAATTAATAAAGTTTTAAACGCTTCGTTTTAATGTTAGGAAGAAAATCCGACACTATGCCGGTGTGTCGGCGCAACACTAGCCTTACTAAAACATCAACGTTTATATCCCTTCACTAATCAATCTGACACTTGACTTTGTAACGAAAACGTACCATTCTCGCTAAATGATTCTAACTAATAATGTCTAAAAGTAGAAAAAATACTCCTAGAATAGTAAAAGAATCTGTTTGGCCATCTATAAGGTTGGGGACTATTCCATTTTTTTTTGGTTAAAAATATTTGACAGTCACATTTGTCAAAATTTCGGTTAACTTTTTCAAAACCAGTATTAAAAATATAAAGAATGGCAGATAAAAGTAAAATTTACGTGTAATTTCGCTTGAAATTTTTTCTATAGAAGGCAAGATGTTCACATAATCGAATCGTCGTTCGAAGGATCGTCTCATTGATATTCCACTTCAGTCTTCACTCACATTCCAAGCTGGCGATTTGTCCGGGCCATAAACAAATTTCACGTAAAAATAAGATTATGCAGAGAATACTCTCGAATCTCGTGTAGAAATTCTATTGAATGGTTTGAATTTTGTTTTACATTTCTCCTTCCAAGTGGACCGACACCGACCGGCAGTGGGCAGTCGTTGGATGGAAAAGGCGAAGGACGGCAAACTGAACATGACATTAGGGAAGACCTATGTCCAGCAGTGGGCAGATGAAGTTGATGATATTGACGATATTTGTGGTACTGATAGTCGAACTTTTTTCTTTTAATTATAGCAAATGAATATGTCAAATTACACTATATTAAACAGTCATTCCAAGCTCCAACAGCTAGCCTTACAAAATTCTTGTGTTACAATGTTAGTTATCATACTCCTGCGAATGAACGAAATTTTATACGCATATTCAGCAGCTCTATAATTGAACCCCGCGCAGACAAAGTCGTGGGCAACAGCTAGGGTTACATTTTAGATACGATTTTCTTTACATTAAACATATGACATCCAAAATCCCTAAAGACCCAAGAACACACAGACATCCGCAAATCGGCGTCATGAATATGAATACGTCATAATGTCTACCGCTTTATGACGAAACCCATCTGTAATTGACTGAGACGGATTGTTAAATTCCTATTATTGTCAGTGCATTTGACCTACTACGAAAATTTATTAAATCATTAAATTCCACACTATAATATATTTTGCTTTACAATTATCAGAATAATCTTGATAATATTAAAAATGCGATCATTTTGATGGATGGATGGATAACAACGGCTCAAAAGATCTCGCTGTATTTTGGTATAGATGTAGGACGTAGTCCGGAAGAAGACATATACTTATAAGTTTTTTTTTAATTCCGCTCAAGCGACAGCTAATTCATAGTAACACTGTATCAATCACGTTGACAATAACAGGAATTCATTTATGGTGTTGTCACAAACATTATTGATGAGATTTCAAATGGACGTCGGTTTCAATGTGTTTTATTACATCATCAAATATTAGTGTAACCGCCCTTCGAATGTTAGTGTCAGCCTAATTCTATAATTATCATAACTTAGCGATATCTGGAGATACCTTCTTACAAACATTCATCCCTTTGTAAGCCTTTTAATTATTGTAAACCACTTAACTATACTGATATACTCTATATTTAAAAATATTATTGAGCCTGTGGTATAAATCAATAACACGATTTTATTATTTTGAAACGAAAACTAAGAAATGTAACTACTAATCAACA